CGCCGAGGCGCCTGGAGCCGGTGCCCAATGCAGGATACGAAAGGCAGACTGTCACACCTGAAGCTTAAGCAATGCAGCAAGAGCAATGACTCCGGAGTGCCCGTGCGAACTTTTCCGAAGCCGCACTGTGTATCTCAGCTTTCCAGCATACCCAGACCTTGCACAGGGAGCAACAAACCAGTTCCCCACATTAAGCAGTCAGGGTGCATGTGGAACGACACGATTCGGGCAAGGCTCTTTTGAGGAACGCCTCCAGCTTCTGCGCGGTTTCAGCCGAATAGGGCTGAACTGGTCTGTGAGCTTTGCTCTCCTCCTTTGCTCGTGAGCACCAGGCCCTCTTCCGCCCAACAAAACAAATGCTGACTTGATTCCAGCAAGGCTTCATTACATTGGGGCCCCCTGTACAACAAGCTGAAGGTGATTCCTACAACAGATGGCAGCACAAACCTGGCACTTGTGATGGTAATGTCCATGCTTCTGGGCTCTCCAGCACTGTGATGGTTCAAATGCGGCACGCACTCTAGACTCTAGTACCACATCCCGACTTGTAGTCTGCTCTCACGAGGCCTCGGTTCTTCCACAATCGAACAGCAGCAAGCTGACCACAACCGGGCAACGGGCCCAGCGCCAAGGGCGACCAAGGAAGCCAAGAGACAGGAGGCAGCAAGCGCAGCCACTTCTGCCTCTGTCCAGCCCATGACAAAACGAAGGGCCCTATGGCGCGTTGCTTACTCACTCAGCATGAAACATCATGAAACGAGGAGTGGATAGTGGCTGCCGAGACATCACGATGCACAGGGTGGAAGGCTAATAATTGCTTTTGATCCTTCGTCATCTTGTTCGATCCTGGTGTAATATTTTTGGTCCTAAATGATCTTGTTTGACCCCTCTCCCTCTCGACGCAGCAGTCCAACGATGTACTTGCAGCCGGCCCTCCGATTTGTGTTGAACCACTTCTGCTGAAACGCCAGCCTGAGCGCATCAAAAAAATCAAAACTCCTGCCGCCTCTTACCAAGACCCGCGGTAGCAGGTCAGCAAGCAGAACCAAGAGAAAAAAGTCGAGGGCTCATGCCACTCATTGTTGCCTGTAGATGCACTTAGCAACCAATATTCAATAAGGTCCAAGCAACTCGGCGTCCACCTCCTTAGTGGCCTGCGCACCACCTGTCAGAAGAGAAGGTGGTCGCTTGCGCGGTGCTGAAGTTCTGGCCTGCCGAAAAGGGACGTGTCTGACCAGCAGTGATGTTGCACAAAGGCGAAAGTCGGCTGCGAGGTTTTGGCCAAAAGAGTTCGGGACCGAGGCTGAGCCTGAAGGAGTTACAGACATGTTCTTGGCCCCGGTGCTTCCACCTGGCGCTGCAGAGCATTCGCGAGCAGCCGCCTCCCAAATTGAATGCTCCCAAGATCAGACGACAACTTACACGGATCTGGAATTTTTGGCAAAGCCTCCTCTTCTCCTCTGGAGGAGGCTGCGGGCCTGGCTGCGTGGGCTGCCTGGTGCGCAACTTGCACAATGCTATTTCAGCTGGCGCTTCCTGCAGCTTGTATCAAATTCAACTGGGCCACGCGGTGGATTTTGCGGCAGGTGCGGACGGCGTGGATGTTGCAGCCGGCGTAGAAGGAGGCTTCACGACTGGTCTGCCTCGAAGCTCGGGTGCGCAAAGGTAGAAACAGGCTACAGTATCTTCTCGGGTCGGTGGCTGTCCTTCCTCTTCCGGGCTTCGAGAAGAGTCGTGTGTAGCAATTCACACATTGCAAGTATTCCTGTCAGCTTGATCTCGTACCACTGCTAAGGAGCTCTGTGCTGGCTTTGAGGTCGGCGGCGGCGCCGGTGTAGCTGGCGGGGCCGGCACAGCCTTGCCTCAGCGGTGTTTCGAACCCTGCGGCGCCAACCCACGATGGATAAACCACCAACGTCGAACCTGCACAGGCGGAATCGTTTGAAGACATCGGATTGTTGTTGCCCAGGACCCAGCTGAGAACCCAAATCCATAGTGGTCAATCCATCAATGGGGCACAAATAGAAACATAGGATCGTTCAAAATCTGAACATGTCTCCGTGAACGAGGATCTGTTGAAGACCTGCGCAGCTGATACGGGGAAGTGCTTCGCAGCCTTTGAACCAGCCAGAGTCTGGTCCAAGACCCACACCCTTCCGCCTTCGAACATCCAAGCCGCGCTTCGGCGGCACCGTTACGGGTACGGCGGGTACGGCAGCTGCGGCTGCCGCCGTGGCGGCTTGGGCCAGCGCTTTCGCAGGACCGGCGCCTTCGACTCGGTAACTGGGCTCCATCTCTCCGTCGGTCGTCGGTCTATCAGGCTCTTCATCTCTCCGTCTTGCTTGCTTGCTTGGGGTCTAGGGCCTAGGGCGCCTCGGAAATCCCTACCCCTCTCCGCATCTCTCCTCTCGATCCCCTCTCCCCTCTTCTCCATCTCCCCCTCGTCTTCACCGTATTTTTTCCCTCCAACTCGCGCCAGCGCCATCTCTCTGTGTTGCTCTCCCTTTCTCTTTGTCTCTTGCCACCAAGTAAAGCTGCATGAACCCCATGGCATCTCCGAACTGCCCCGAAGAAATCGCGCAGGCGCCCCAAGTAGAGACTGTAAGGATGAGCGGGTACGCTACGGTAGGCCAACACGCCAGTGACCCCCACAAGTGCCTGCAGCCTGAGCCACTGGGGAAGGGTCCTTCCTCAGTGCAGCCAAGACCAAATAAACATCAAACCGCTCAGGCCCGCTTCACTCAAGATGCACACCTCGACATGAAGCCAAGCAGCTTTTCTGTTCTAGGCGTCGCCTTAGCAGCTGGAGGGCTGGAGGCCACAGCCAACCAAAAGATCCATAGGCCCATAGAGCTTTCGAGAAAACAAGATTCTTCTGGCCAAGTCTTGGGCGCAATGTCTGAGGCTGCTGCTGGTAAGTTCGTGGCAGGCATCTCGGCACCTGAAACAGGGGGAAAACCTATTGCTGCGCTGAGTTGTGGCTCTGTTTGCCATGAATCATTTCGGGGTCGGTTTCGTCGGGGCATGGTAGGTGCAACAATGGACGCTGTGAGTTTCAGTTGTGGCGGCAGCCGTCGTCGGCATCGCAAAAGTAGAAGTACAAGTAGTGTTGGCAGCAATACTAGTAGTAGCAGTAGTAGCAGTAGTAGCAGTCGTAGCAGTAGTAGCCGGCAGCAGCAACCGAAGCAGAAGCAGAAGCAGAAGCAGAAGCAGAAGCAGTAGCAGTAGCAGAGGCAGTAGGAGTACTAGTGGTAGTCGTCGTAGTAGTAGTCGTAGTAGCAGTAGCAGTAGCAGTAGTAGTAGTAGTAGTCGTCGTAGTAGTAGTAGTAGCAGCAGCAGCTGCTGCGGCAGAAGCAGCAGCGGCAGCAGTTGAAGTAGTAGAAGTAGTACTAGTAGTAGTAGTAGTAGTAGTAGTAGTAGTTTAACAAGAAATCATCTAAGCCTGCACCGCAACCCTGGGCACAATGCTTCTCTAAGGACTCGGAGACGGGTCGTAGGATGATCTCGGCCTCAAGAAAAACGGATCCATTGAAGGGTTTAGGGGCTTAGGCGGTTTAGGGTTTAGGGGCTAAGGGTTTAGGGGTTTGGGCGGTTTAGGGTTTAGGGGCTAAGGGTTAAAGGTTTGTTATCGCATGGAAGTCGGTTAGTTTGTAATACATCGCTGCAGTACTTGGGTATATCACATGTCGCACACACTTGTGAGTAGCCCACATCTGTAACGATGCGGGAAACCTCTGTCTAGGGCATGTCTCTTGAGTTCGTTTTTGATGTACAGAAGGTGTTTCTTAAAAAGCGGAAGGTTGATAGACCAAGTTGACTGGGGGCTAAAGTCGAAAAAGGGCGAACAGCTTGATGAAAGCTCGTAGCTTTCCCATTCCAGTACAGGCTTCCGCACAGCTAAACACAAGGGCAAGAGTAAAGCACCCGCGCGAAGCAATGAGCCAGTTGTGAGGAAACCAGCAGGTGACACCCGTAACTGTGCCCCAGCTGGAAGCTAGTAAATCCCGAACGAAACAGCAACAAGACTGGAAATGCGCTGTTTAACTGAACCTACTCCTCCTGCAGCTACTGTTACGAAAGAAAATTCCACGGCAACTTTCGCTAGTTGTGCTTTAGCTGAACCGCTGCTGCTAGTGCTGCTGCTGCTACTCCCACTCCTACTGCC